CCACCTCCGCTCCTTCCCCCGCCTCCGCTCCTCCCCGCGCCTCCGCTCCTTCCCCCGCCTCCGCTCCGTCCCACGACTCCGCTCCTCCGCCGCTCCTCTCCCCGCCTCCCCCCGCCTCCGCTCCTCCTTCGCTCCTCGCCCCCCATTGATTGATTGATTGATTGATTGATTGATTGATTGATCCCCTCCTACCCCCACATTTCAGGAAGCCTGTTTGAGGCGATTCCAAAAACAGAATCGATTCCGCAATCGATTCCGTTTTGGAATCGCCTCAAACAGGAACCTGGGCGCAGTGAACTGGTCCGTGGAGGTGCCTGTTTGAGGCGATTTCAAAACGGAATCGATTACTTAATCGATTCTGTTTTAGAATCGCCTCAAACAGGAACCTGGGCGCGGTGAACTGGCCCGTGCAGGTGCCTGTTTGAGGCGATTCAAAAACAGAATCGATAACGTAATCGATTTCGTTTTGGAACCACCTGAAATAGGCACCTGCACGCGCCAGTTCCCCACGCCCAGGTTCCTGTTTGCTAGAGTACGAAATGCACTATTTACGGTAACCGAAGACGGCAAAGGCCCTTTTTTCCGCATTTTCTTCAAAAAATGGCATATTTTCGTTCACAAAAGTTCTTGCACAATTTGTGGATAGCGCCGTGTGACCTGCCAAGTACCAAATCCCACTTCTCCACACGGTCGTGACCTTGTCCCATCTGAAAAGGTACAACGGTGTAATGTGAACCATGCCCATGCCCTCAAATCGGCCCTTCCCAAATCCGCACAAGGATAGATTGTTGTACTTCATCACCTTAGCCAAAGAAGAAAACACGTAGACAGTCGTAGGTTGTCACATCGTCCTTAGCTAGGCTCGTTTGTAAAATCTTTCTGCATCGGACAAGGTTTCCCTATTCCTCTCGTAACCGCACCGCGGAAGTTTCTTTTTTTTTCAATTTAAGTGGAAGCATTTCTCGATTTGGGTTTGACTGCATACGCGGTACATCATTGATGCCTTCCCTTTCCTAGCTCAGGGCACGCTCACACCGCGTACCCGAAATCGTAGTTCCTTAAAAAAAATGGATGCCCGATTTGGGAAAATAGTGGGCGGACCGGTGACCCTGATTCCCCATTTCGCAACAGACAGACAAGGTTGCGGTCGCCTAGGATTGATTGATCGATCCCCTCATCCCCTGATCCCCTCACATACCTAGACGTCCATTTGAAGCGATTCGAAAACGGAATCGATTACGTCGATTCCGTTTTGGAATCGCCTCAAATATGCACCTGGTCGCGGCGAACTGGCCCGTGTAGATGCCTTTTTGAGGTGATTCAAAAATGAAATCGATTACGCAATCGATTCCGTTTTGGAATCACCTCAAATAGGCAACTACACGAGCTTGTTTGTAATCGATTTCGTTTTTGAATCACCTCAAATAGGCATCTACACGGGCCAGTTCGCCGCGACCAGGTGCATATTTGAGGCGATTCCAAAAGGGAATCGATTACGTAATCGATTCCGTTTTGGAATCGCTTCAAACGCATGTCTAGGTATGTGAGGGGATGAGGGGATGAGGGGATCGATCAATCAATCAATCAATCAATCAATCAATCAATCAATCAATCAATCAATCAATCAAACAATCAAACAATCAATCAATCAATCAATCAATCAATCAATCAATCAATCAATCGGGAGGGAACGACCGATCAATTGGAAGGGAACGACCGTGACTGTAAGTACTGCGGCTATTTTTTTTCTCCTTTTTTTTTTTTGCATGTTAATGGGAGGCGGGGAGAGGAGCAACGGAGGGGGGGAGCGGCGGCGGGGGG